TTAGGTAAAGAAGGGAGGAAGGAGGAAGGAAGGAAGATGGGGAAAAGGGAAGGAGAAAGAGGTAGGCCTGATTTTGCCATCTATCACATTATAATTGAGGCACTGAGTTACTTTTTGAAGGGGAGGGGGGTCTTTCCAAAGCATCCCAGGAGTATTTATTGGCATCAGATCAATTTTGGTATCAGATCCACTATTTTAGTTCAGGAGCCATTTTTATCTAGGGACTCCTAAGTTTAGAATTAGGAGCCATTTTATTCAGGGACTCTCAGGTTTCAATTTAGGAGTCATTTTATCTGAGATCCTGAGTCAATGCTGCTTATCCTCCTGTAAGAACATGTGGCTGCTAAAGGGCTGACCTCACCCCAGCCCGTGATGTAACCCCTAAGCATGCTTATGAAATTCCTCTTGCGGGCTATAAAGCTGCTCTATGAGTGCCAACAGGCTGCTGCTCTCCTTGGAGGGACAGCTTCATGGGTTTGCTCCATGCTCTGACAACAAATCTCTCGGATGAGATCTGGTGTGTGGTGTGGGTCCTTGGACTTTGCGTGGACTTTGTGAGAGTCCTTTCAGTATTCAGTTTTGAAGCATGGGTTTCTCTGATTCTTGAAGAGTGGCAGGGTAATGAAGCCAGAATTAGACAGGCAGATAGGCAGATAGGTATGGGTCAGATCCAGAGAACGGAATTGAAATGTTAATTCCTTCAGAGCCCTTCCCTATCAAGAGAAACTGCCCTGTGCCAACGTGTTTCTAAAGTAACCTGTCCCAGGATTTTGCCCCTTCCTACAGGGAGTTATAAAGTTGTTAATTAATGTGTCCTGGGCTGCTCCATCAGGCTCTTCCCCAGTCCATCTGCTTCTCACCTTTTGGGCATCCCATCCAGCCTCTCCTGGGCCTAGTCAGGTAGTGGGAAAAGGGGAAGAGAGCAGGGAAACAAAGGAAGCCTAAGACATTAAAAAAAAAAAAAAAAGCAGACCGCCTTGCTTCTTGGAATACCAGGATACCAGCTATGGCCCCGTTCTCCCTCCCGGGAGAACTTTATGTTACCCCTTTTTAAATAAACCCTGCTTTATATGCTTGCCTCAACGTGCTTCTCTAATGTTATACTTCAACATGTGAGGGTAACCAGAAGTATCAGTAGGTGGTAGGTGACTTTAAGGAAGGGAAGGAAGGTAGAGTTCTATTGACAAAATAGGAGAAATGTGAATGGACAGAAGTTCCTTCAAAAGTTGGTATTTGGGGAAGACATAATGAGGAAGGAACAGTGAAGAAGAAGGAGAGAAAACACTACAAATAGTAAATGGTATTTTATTTAATCTTCAAATGAACCCTATTATGTCAGTATTTTCCCTTCTTTATGATTGAGAAAACCAAGTACAGGAACGAACAGGAGAAAGAACTGAGACTTGAAACCAGAGCTGTGGCCCCAGAGTCTACATTGTTTCCACCATACAACCATTGACAAGTCTAGAAGCCTGTAGAAAACTCACATTGCTCAGACTTTGGTCCCCTAGGAGTGAGACCATCCTTAGTAGAAGCTTATAAGACCAGTTCATGACCTTAGGTCATTTCAAATGGATTTTCACATCAACTCCTTTCCCTTTCCTGGAATTCTAAGCTCCAAAGGAATTCCAAACAATCTTTCTGGGTCCTAAAATAGCTTTACAAAGCATTCCCATTCCCTTTCCTGTAATGTCTGCCCCCAAAGTTCAGTTTACCTGAAGGAATATCTTTCTAGTGATCATGATTTTTAAAAGTTTCCTACTCCAGTAGCATGTGTCCTTTATTCAACAGCTGCTCTGGGATAATGATGATGAAAGACTTGGCTCAAAATGTTCAGTTGATGCAATTATCATTACTTTATATTCTTATACTATTATACTCTAAATGATTCCACCAGATTCTTCAAATCTTATTCCCCTCCTCAAAGCCACGGTATTAATCTTTGGATATCTCACAAGTTCTAATAACCAGAACCAAGGGAGAATATTTTTCATGGGCAAAATTGAATAGTTAAGGGTTATCATTTTTTAAATATCCTCCTTATCTGTGGCTGTATGTCATCTTTCCTTTCTAATGTATATGTCTTCTCTGTTTCACGATCTTTTCTTGATCTGTTTCTTGGTCTCTTCAGAGAGTAAAGTTTTGGTTACTTTAATTTTTTTTAATTTTTGTTTTTAAATTTATCAAGTTGCCTGGGTTTATAAGTTTTCCTATTTGGCTAGTTTCTGCTTTTATTTTTACTTATTAACATAATTCTTTTGCAGTCTCTTGTTTTGTACAATGTTTTGCAATAAAGGTTTGTTTGTTTTTTGTTTGTTGGTTGTTACTGGGAATTGAACTCAGGGGCACTTGGCCACTGAGCCACATTCCCAACCCTATTTTGTATTTTATTTAGAGACAGGGTCTCACTGAATTGCTTAGTGCCTTGCCTGTTGCTGAGGCTGGCTTTGAACTCAGGATTGTCCTGCCTCACTCAGCCTGCTGAGCCACAGCCGCATGCCCCACTGCACCCGGCCTGCAATAAATGTATTATAAATACATATAAAATTTTATGGATTCAGCAGGGCACCGTAGCGCACACCAGTAATCCCAGCAGCACAGAAGGCTGAGACAGGAAGCTGGCAAGTTCAAAGCCAGCCTCAGCCTCAGTGAGGCACTAAGTAACTCAGTAAGACTCTGTCTCTAAATAAAATATGAAATAGGGTTGGGGATGTGTATCAGTGGTTGAGCGCCCCCGAGCCCCCCCCCCCCAAAAAAAAAGACTTTATGGATTCAGTTTTTCTGAACTGTTCAGTTTCACAGTTTTGTCATGTAGGAATTTTTTGCTTTTTTTTCTTTTTCTAAAGAGTGTGCATTCCTATCCCCCATAAATATGTGCAATTATGTGTTAATCAAAGATTTTTTCAATTGTTTAAGGAGATGGAAATGTCAACCACCCCAATTTGATCTTAACACACTGTATATATGAATCAAATTATAAAATTGTACAATTAAAATAATATTTTTCGGGCTGGGGTTGTGGCTCAGCACTCTACCACTCGCCTAGCACATGCATGGCCCTGGGTTCGATCCTCAGCACCACATAAAAATAAACAAAATAAAGGTATTGTGTCCAACTACAACTAAAAATAAATATAAAAAAATCTTTTTAAAAATATTGATTTTCAAAAGTATTTGTAATTTCCCATTTGTGTGTGGTGTTTTTTTGTCTGTTTGTTTGTTTGGTTTGGTTTGGGTTTTTGTTTTTGCTTATAGCACAGATTAAACCCCAGGATGCTCTACCACTGAGCTACATCCCCAGCCCTTTTTATTTTTGAGTCAGGATGTTGCTAACTTGCCAAAGTTGGCCTCAAACTTGTGATTCTCCTGCTCAGCCTCCCAAGTCACTGGTATTACAGGTTTGTACCACCCCACCTGGCTGTTTAATCCATATTTAAAGCATTTTTAAATTTCCAACTGTATTGCAATGAGCATAAATTGTGTTGTTAATTTTATCATAATATTTTGATGAGTAATGTAGTATGATTCTGCCTTTTAAGTTGTGTCGACCTTTATTTTGTGACTTAGTTTTTTGTATGAAAAACAAATAGCATCTATTCTCCATTTGGGGGCGCAAATATATACATAAAGATATGCCTATGTGTGTTTAAATCTCATATATGCTACTTAAGGTTATGTTGAATAGTCTAAATACAGTTTCCCCCAACCTCTAGTTGGAGTAGTTGCAAGATCTCCTACCCATTTCACAAACCTTTAGCAGGAAGATCTACTTCTGATTAGTACATTCCACAGATGTACAATCACAGTTGGGGGTGGGGTATATGTCATAATCCAGTGGAGAAACTAGATAATGAATAATAAGATCTAGAAACTAGTATAAATTGTATTGGCCTTACCACAGATGGGCTTGGTGACCTTAGGCAAGTCGTTTTTCAGTGCTTCTATTTCCTCCTCTATCAAATGCCCTGGGTAGTCATATCTGCTCTGCCAACATTCCAAGGTGTGTCGGGGAAGCCAAGAGATAAGGAATGTGGCCAACATAAAATGATAAAGAAATAAAATTTTTTTTAAAAGGAGCAGTGGTTGCTAACATACATAGGAGCTGAAGAAAAACCATAATTATGTAAAATGGCTAACCCAGGCTCCAAGCAGGTGCTCTTTCTATTGGCTCCCTTCCCTGCTCCAACCACCTTCAGCTCCCTTTGGAAACACCCTCCCTTCCAGCACTGAGACACCACCGTCCAATAACGTGAGCCTCCCTCTTCGTAGCACTGGCAGTTTGGAACCTGATGAAAGTGTATTTTGAGAACCAGCAAAAAACCTGCCAGCAGCTCAAATTCGCGCTTCATCACAATCAGCCCTGGCAGAGCATGTGCAATGCCTCCTCCTTCAGCAGTGGAGGCTGAATGGCAGATGCTACCCAAATGCTCATTAATCTAAGGAGGCTTTCGCCCCCAGACCCCCCTAGGCCTTGGACAGAAAGAATTTCGGCCCCGGAAATATAGGATGAGGAGCCTCCACGTCCTCTGAGCCCGTAGGAGGCAGCCGCGGGGTCAAATTTAAGCATTGCCCTCTGTAGAGAAGGAATCAATGGTGTTCTGGATGCGGATTTCCAGGGAAGATGCTCCTCCGGGTCCCGCGGCCCCTTGGGAAGATAATTGAGCGCCCAGCTAAGCTCAGAGCATGCCAGCCCCGGGAGCCGCGGGAGCTGGCGCCGAGCGTCTCTGCACCACCCCGCAGCTCCGGGCCCTCTTTCTCAATTTGCCCTCCTGCCGCAGTCAGGCCCAAATTAATTCTCTGCACTTGTGAGTGAGCACACACAAGTTCCCCAGGCACGATCCGTCCATTTCCCCGGGGAGGTTGGAGTCGGGGGAGCTTTTCAACCATTAACCTCCCAGCCACCTGGGGGAAGGTGGCAGGATGGAGCGAGTCGGGCGGGGAGAGGCGTTTTGCCAGTTCAAAGGCACCAAAATTAGCTGCCAATTCTAAAAGGGTTCTCTTTTCCCGGTTTTGACAAACAGATGCAATGGGATGCCTACTGCTTCCCTGGCCCAAGTCCTGGGCTCACTTCACAGCCTGATGCAGAGTTTCAGACCGCAGTCCTGCTGAACGGATACCCGGCGTTCTTCGACCTCTTGTCGAAGTCTGCAGACGGGTGGATGCGGGGCGCAGGCTTTTCCCTGAACGTTTTAACGTGGCCTTAGGTTAAAAAGCCCCAGAGCTCTCACCTTTGCACCTCCCCTTTATCTTCCTCCTCCTCATCATCCCCATCACTCCCCACCCTTCTCCACCACCATCCCACCACCACCGAAGGACGTGCCCCTTTGGTAGTGTCGGGGCTCCCAGACCGAGCGAGGGGGAGGGCGCCTCCCAATCCCCTCCTCCCCATCCCTGCCTCAGCTCGGGGTTTTACTGCAGCAGCCGGGAGGTGACAGCGACGCCTTAGCCTCCTCTGTTGCTCTCGGAGCCCGGGTTTCCCCTGCACTGGGAAAGCGCCCTCTCCTGAGAGGCTAGTCCCGGGAGAAGTGCGAAAGAGCTACAGAAAACCAAATTATAAAATGTAGAAGTCTCTGGGTTGCATTCCTCCGAGGACGAGCCTAATCTCCCAGGACAGAGTGGCAGCGTTTGGGAAGTTGGGACCATAGAGCAAGAGGGGGAGGGGAGTGGTGCAACCGGCATTCTCTTCTGGAAGGAGTCGCTGGGAGCCGTGCGGTTGGACCTAAGTTTGCGTAAGAGTGTTTTCCTTTTGTCAATAATTAATCACCGGAATCAGTCTGGCAGAATTGGAGTTTTAGCAATAGTGCAGAGGGCGGGGCTGAACACCTAACTCCTGGAGCCTCCGCGGCGCCCCGCGCAGAGGGAAGCTCGCAGCAGCTGGGGAGGAGCCAAAGCATCCGAGCTCACCTAAAGCCGCAGGGAGGTACACCCGACTGGGGACTGGGAGGTAAGCATCTTCCAAAATATCTACTTGGACTGGAAAGTAGTTAGTAGGATAGAATTTCTGTCTTTATTGCGGGGAGCGGGGACGTAATAGTGAGTTTTAATGCAGTTTATCAGTTTATTATTTAACATCATTGCAATTTTAAGAATTGAATGGGTTTTTCCACTTGCCTTTTACTATGTTGGCAACTAAGGTGTGTCACTCAACAGAAACTAAACTTTAATATTGAAACTTTCCCAGCCAAAATAAAATTATTTTCATTATTTATCTTTGCCTGATTCATTAGTAACGATTCAGGGAAATATCTTTGGGATGTGCAGTTTCCTTCTTAAATATTCATCTTTCTAGTTTCATGCTCTTATATAGTACTTTTTTTTTTTTTTCGGCCAGTGAGCTACTTTAGGCAATAGCACAAACAAGTCAACTGTCAAACGGTGAAGAATTTCCAAGGAGGAATGCATTTTAACATTTTTCTTATGATTTTCAAGCAATATTATATTGTCTCAAAGATGCATAAGTAAGCATTCATAAGTAAACAAACTTCAAAGCCCAAGAAGAACTATATGGTTAACTTTGCCTTAGGGTGGAAAAAGGGGATGAGGCTAGACAGAGAAGAGTTTTAAATATGAACAGGTTTCTAGACTCCTTTCAACTAAACTGGCATTCAACTGGTTGTCAATTCACAGATGAGCCCAGTCCATGCTCAAAGAAAACATTTGAGAAACTGTTAAATGTAACATTTACATCTTTGTCTCCAAAGTCCAAATAAATGCATCAGGCAAGCGAGGAAAGTCATTTTTATAAAAGACTTTATGGTGCAGTAGTTATTTTAAATTAAACAAAAATTAAGAAATGCATGATATTTTTGTGAGTTTTTAAAATTTATATATAAATCTTGAAGTTTTTTTAAATATATATTTTTTTAAGTTGTAGGTAGACACAATACCTTTATTTTATTTATTTGTTTTTATGTGGTGCTGAGGATCAAACCCAGCGCCTCACACATGCTAGGCAAGAGCTCTACCGCTGAGCCACAACCCCAGCCCAATCTTGAAGTTTTAATAACTTGATTTATGCATCTTAATTATTCCTATGCTTGTGAAGATAACCTTCATGTTCATGACTTTCAACAGCCATGATGACTTTGTACGTAGATCATTAGACCACCACCAACAAACTTTAGTATGAAATGCATATGGGCTCCCTATTCAAATATTTCTCTACAACTATTCAATAACCACAAATTAAGAATGGTTTGTCAAGCCAAATGCATAGACAGTTTAAAACTTTAGTGGATATGAAGCTTAAAGTCAACAAGTCCTCAACTTCCATAGGTTTTTCTAATCTGCTGTTTATAAATTTGCAAATATTTTATAAAAACTATCCTTTATCATTCTATAGCAAATTTTGTTTCTACTATATCTATTTGATCACCAGGTATACAGAAGCAAAATCTTCATTTAAAAGTATCCAAATGAGACTCAATCTCCAGAATAGTGGTGTGAAAAGCTATGTGAATCCACTCCTTATAAAATAACTGATAAAAAATTATCTCAGCATTAGCCTGAGGGAAAATAGCAAATAAAGAAATAACAATTCAAGACAATCTCTAGCATTTCAGTAAGAAAGATAAGAGTTTATAACATCTGAAGCTGAGCCCATTGTCAGTCCATTTCCCTACCCTCCTCCAGCTGGGTTTGATGGTGCTCCACCCCGGCTGGATGGTGCTTTACTCTGGTAGATAAAAACAGCCAAGAACACAGGGCTCTCTCACAACCTAGAACCAAGCCTAGAGCTGCAGTACATCCTCACGGCAGTTGTGTTGCACAAGCTTTATTTCAGGCAAGACCAACTAAGAAGTCTGAGACTTTCTTTCTTCCCACCCTACTCTTACAGCAGAAGACAAAGAACTCAACAACAGAAAGGCAAATAACCCATTTTAAAATGGGTGAAGGATTCAAATCAACATTTCCATAAAGAAGATATACAAATGGCCAATAAATTTATGAAAAGGTCCTTACTATCATTAGTTGTTAGGAAAATGAAAATCAAAACCACAACTAAATACCACTTCACACCAAACAGAATGGTTATAATCAAAAAGATATGTAAAAGCAAGTGTTAGAGAAATTGGGGCTAGGAATATAGCTCAAAGGTAGACCACATGCCTAGTATATACAGGGCCATGGGTTCAACCCCTTGTACAAGGGGGAAAAAAATAAAAATTAAAAAAATGTAAAGAAAATGGAACTGTTATATATTGCTGGTGGGAATGCAAAATGATACAGTTTCTGTGGAAGATAGTTCAGTAGTTCCTCAAAAAGTTGCACATAGATTTATCAAATAACACAGCAATTCCTCTCCCCAGCATATATGCAAGAAAACTGAAAAGTTGTATCTATACAAGAATTACTAGTACACAAATGCTCACATGAGCATTGTTCATAGTAGGACAGAAAGTGGAAACACATCTAGCATCCATTGAGTGATGAATAGATAAATGAAATATGGTATGGAATGGAATGATGGAATATTATTCAGCAATAAAAAAGATGTAGCTGATTCATGCTGCTGCATGGATAAATAGTGAAAAGATTATGCTAAGTGAAGGAATACCACATATTGTATATTTAATTTACGTAACACATTCAAACTCAATAAATCTATAGAGATAAAAAGTAGATTACTTATTGCTGAGGGCTAGAGTGGGATTCCTCCCACTCCAGTGGGGGAGAAATCCAAAGAAAATCAAAACCACAATGAAATACAACTTTTACCACTTCAAAATGGCATTTCATTGTGGTTTTGATTCCTCCCACTCCATTGTTGGGGAGAATGGGAAGTGACTACTAAAGGGTACAGGGTGTGTTTTGGGGATGATGCAGATGATCTAAAATCGACTATGGTGATGGTTTGTGTAATTGTGAATGCCATACTACTAAAAACCATTGAGTTTAGGTAAATTATATCTCGATAAAGCAGTTTAAAAATTTGTCCAGGAAATTAAAAGAGCAAATAAGTTTATAACTTGAAGTTCATAAATCTGTGTGTACTACTAGACCAATAGTTTAAACTTGAAGTTCATAAATCTTTGTGCACTACTAGACCAATAGTTTACTTGAGGATTTCTTTCCCCCCAAAGGACCACATTAAAATATATGAAATAATTAAAAGTAGCACAGGTGTTGCATAGCTATATGATTTGCATAGGTTTACACACCTGCCCAAGCTTTCTTCTATTTGGAAATAAGTCAGATGCCATTAATTTATTCCTATAGAGAATTTGCTTGCAATGTCACATCTTTTTGGACTCACCCATTCATTATATTAATCTAGGACCTGTGAAGCCAGTTGCTCCTCCTGCTTTTAGAAAAGTCTAATCCTTTATCAGTTCTTTAAGTCTGTTGTTGAGTTTGTTATGGCCCACGTTGTGTTGTGTGAGAGAGGGAGTTACCTGAATCTCAGCAAAAAGTGAACTTGTCTTCCATACGAATGAGCCCAGTTCTGCTTACACTAGATTGACCCTGAAAGCTGGAATCTTGGAAGAGCCAGGGGAGCATCCACTCTGCCATGTCCCTGCTGGAAAGAATCTGCTGTGATCATGACAATCTCAGATGCAGGGGAAGCCCCTAAATAATTCATTCATTCCTCTATTCATCCCTTATGTTTTGAGTTTCCCCAAGCTTCCTGATCCTGCATTAAAAATCATCAAACGGGATGATAAGGCTTTGTTCAGAAATAGCAGTGTAAAGTCAGTATGTCTCAGAGTCCCGCGGAGGTGGGAAGCATGTTTGCAGAATAGTTATGAGTAAACTGAATCAAACCAGGCTCTTAGCTTTAGGGATTCAGTCTACCTGCTTCAGGAAACTTCAAGGATTTTCCATTCTCACCAGCACAGGCCTATCCTTCTATACCTATGCTCTGAAGAGTGTACCATGCTGATATTGCCTTCATCATGGGGATTAATAATTTATTTATTTAACAAATATTTATTGCTTATCTACACTGCACCAGGATAGTTTTAGGCCCTGGGTATGTAATATACATATAACAGACAAAAACTCCTTATTTGAAGGAACTTAAATGAGAGCAGGGGCTTCAGACATTAATAACAATAATAATATTAAGTGAATATAAGGATATGAGAAAGAAATAAGAACTCTGGAACCAATAAAAGAGAAAAGAGAATGAGGTACAATTTTGAACTGTGGAATCAGGCTAGGAAATAAGATTCTATAATAATCTAATGTGAAGATCATGCACAAACCTGGCCTCTGTGTCTCAGGCAACAAAGATTGCCACCTCCAAATGAACTTCTGTCTTCCCCCAAAGTTTCAGTGTTCCCTTCCCATTGGCTTCAACTTCCAGCATTATTTTTCTCCCTAGATATTCCATTGTTTCATTAAGTAAAACATTATGTTATCTCCAAAACATTCCAAGCAGACACAAGGAAGCCCTAGCCTACCCAACACCTGCTCTGAAGAATTACAACCTAAATAGAAGACTACCTCATGAGAACAAATATTCTCACTCAGGGAAATCAGTCTAGGCTTTCAGTTTCCTTTTGGCCTTTTTCTCCAACTTTTCCATGGATTCTTGGAGTCTTCCAAGGGATTGTGTATAAACAATTAAAATCTGATTCTCCAAAGCTAACATCTTTTGAAGAGTGAGAATGAGAGAGAAATTGAGAAGAAAAATGTAAGATCCATGTGGGAAAGGTGAAAGGAGAACAAATCTTTCAGAACTACAGAGTGAGCAGAACAAATGGAGTGGGGGATGAGGGAGAAAAGCAACCAGAGACTCTCCACTTCACCAGATGGCCCCAGAGTTTCTACTCGGCACCTGATTTAAAAGGTACCCAACCAGGCCTTGTTCTAGTAAAATATAATGGGTGTGGCAGCTTTCCTGGAATACAGTTTTTTAGATAATGGCTTAAAAGGAGCAGGGACTAAGTTTTAAGTCCAAAGGGAGCATTCATTTCAAGGCTGGAAGAGAAGTGTTTA